CACTGATTACAAACACAGTCTTAAAAGAGCAATCCAGAAAAACTGGGTGTTAGAATGGGACACAGAAATAGACAACAAGCTTCACTGCGTGAAACCTACCCTGCGGGAATGGGCAAGTTGCCGACACAGGGAGCGTTTCTTTGAGGTTGTGCTCTGTCGTCTGAGACTGGGACACACCCATCTCACGCATGGGCACCTCCTACGGGCAGAGGCAGCTCCGAAATGTGAACACTCTAACGAGCCGTTGAATGTCTTGCATATTCCTATCGTATGTCCTAAGTACCATCACGAACGCACCACTTTTTTCTCTACCTTTTTCCGTAATCCCGTCCCGTTCCACCCGGCATTATTATTGGGTGACGAACCTGTTGTGCCGCACCGTCAAGTTTTTAAGTTTTTAGATAGCATTGGCATCCAATTGGCTATGAATTTTAGTTTGTTTTCTTTTCTATTACATTTGCCTGAAGATTAGCGGTGGCAGAGAGCCGGCGATCTTGTATCATCAGCACATTTTCCCATACTCCCTAGCGTGAATGAAATTCCTTTAGAGTGCCCCTGGTTAGTGGAGCATTGGTTAAAATTTCTGGAGGCCTTAATAGGCCTGTATCTTGTAAGGTTTTAAACACTCATTTCCCATAGTTTTAAGATGGAACTACCTACTATAGGTCTTTTCAGTATTGCCTTTAACTTACCTTGTGTTTGGCACACTATGGCCTTAGTTGCCGCTGTGCCATTAAACACCTAATTTTCTCTTCTCCAAACACACCTAGGTGACTGGTGAGCGACCGAAAAAATTGAACCCAAGACCTCTCCATTACAGGTGGAGCGCGCTACCAACTGAGCTAACCAGGGGCTAGGCGTCAGTAGAGCAAACGGGTTTTATCAGCTGCCACCAGTCTAACACCAACAAGGGTGAAGCTTGCAATTTAAGGTTATAATTATGATGCAATTAAATGCAAAGGTGCAAGCTAGAGGGACAAGAATGACGAAAATAATCCCTGGGGAAGGGGAACAAGAGGGACAAAGGACAAAGTAGAGCGCTCCACCTGTAATGGAGAGGTCCTGGGTTCGACACCCGGACCAGGCGGATTTTTTCGGTCGCTCACCCGTCACCTAGCTGTGTTTCGAGATTTTTGTTTGTCCTTAGTCCCTCTTGTTCCCCTTCTCCAGGGTTTATTTTCGTCATTATCATATTTACAATTGTTCAACGGTTCAAAAAAAAAAAAAGAAGAAATTAGTGATTAGCTGGTAAAGTTTGGATGATACATCTTTCTGCTATCGGGGTACATATGTTTTTAGAGCGCAGCTCTTAGGCGCCCGTTTCCGGCTTGAGCGGCGTCGCCGTCGCCGTCGCCGTTGGCGTCGCCGTCGCCGTAGGCATAACCGCGCGGTGCATTATGGGTAAATTTCCCCGCTAAATCTAGCGGGAAAATTTCCCGCTAAATCTAGCGGAAAATTTTCCCGCTAAATCTAGCGGAAAAATTTCCCCGCTAGATCTATCGGAAAAATTTCCCCGCTAAATCTAGCGGAACAATTTCCCCGCTAAATTTAGCGTAAAAATTTCCCGCTAGATATAGCGGAAAATTTGCCCCGCTATATCTAGCGGAAAAATTTCCCCGCTAAATCTAGCGGAAAAAATTTCCCCGCTAGATCTATCGGAAAAATTTCCCCGCTAAATCTAGCGGAACAATTTCCCCGCTAAATCTAGCGGAACAATTTCCCCGCTAAATTTAGCGTAAAAATTTCCCGCTAGATATAGCGGAAAATTTGCCCCGCTATATCTAGCGGAAAAATTTCCCCGCTAAATCTAGCGGAAAAAATTTTCCCGCTAAATCTAGCGGAAAAATTTCCCCGCTAGATCTATCGGAAAAATTTCCCCGCTAAATCTGGCGGAAAAATTTCCCCGCTAAATCTAGCGGAACAATTTCCCCGCTAAATTTAGCGTAAAAATTTCCCGCTAGATATAGCGGAAAATTTGCCCCGCTATATCTAGCGGAAAAATTTCCCTGCTAAATCTAGCGGAAAAAATTTCCCGCTAAATCTAGCGGAAAAATTTCCCCGCTAGATCTATCGGAAAAATTTCCCCGCTAAATCTAGCGGAAAAATTTCCCCGCTAAATCTAGCGGAAAAAAATTTTCCCGCTAAATCTAGCGGAAAAATTTCCCCGCTAGATCTATCGGAAAAATTTCCCCGCTAAATCTAGCGGAACAATTTCCCGCTAAATTTAGCGTAAAAATTTCCCGCTAGATATAGCGGAAAATTTGCCCCGCTATATCTAGCGGAAAAATTTCCCCGATAAATTTAGCGGAAAAAATTTCCCCGCTAAATCTAGCGAAAAAATTTTGGTCACGTGACCCGGGGGTCACGTCACCTGGGGAGTCACGTGGCACCCCGAGGTCACGTGATTCACGTGTTTGCCCCCACGTGATTCCACCAAGGTCACGTGCCCTCGGGGGGGGGGGGTCACGTGACCCCCCCCCCCCCCCCCCCCGAGAACACGTGGCCCTCAGTACCCTCCCTTCCTCCTCCTCAAGAGCTGCGCTCCATTTCGGCGTTACAGGGATTTGTAAACGGCTTTCACTTTTTTTTTCCTAAATTAAACCAGGTGAAGCGCTTAGTTGTGTATGTTGCCCTTCTATGTGTCTTTTCTGTTTTTTGCGCTTTATTCCCTACAACGCTGGACCATTTGTAGTTTAGATATTAGTGTTAATACTGTCACGGGTGGTGACCAAAAACAATAAATAAACAAGAAGAAATAAACGTTTAATGTGGCGAACTTGTGCCAAAAATAAAAGGGTACAAAAGGTAATAACAGCGTCGCGGGCGTCGAAGTTGGCGTGACAGCAGAGTCGAACGCTGGGGCGAGTGACTCCGCTCGCCTGGCCGAATCCCTTTGTACCCGTGGGTTTCTGGATCGTTCGGCGTAGAAGGTTCGGCGCGGAGAACATTCTAACCTCGAATCAGCAAGATCGTTCTCGAATTTACCAGGACATTACTTTACAGAGTGAACAAAAATGTGCCTCCGCGGCCAGGGATCGAACCCTGGCTTTCAGCATGGAAAGCAAGCGCGATAACCGTTAGGCCACGCGCGCGCTGCCTACTTGGCCAGCTGCGCGTGCGGCAATACTCATGTACCTAAATCTATTTGCAGAAAATACGAACAAAAACGCAATCGTTTCTTTGCGTACTGCGTAATGCAGAGCATTAATAATAATAATAATACTAATGATAATAATAATATTAATAATAATAATCTTTATTTGCAAGAGTAATGTAACCCCGGGTGGCTTGCGAGGCGAAAACGGAAAGGCGAGAGCCCGTGCACTAGTGTGTCTGTCAGCCAACCACCCGGGGCATGAAATAACAAAACAAACAACGACAACAACAGGGAATGAATAAAAACAAAGTGACACCGAACACTGATCACGGCGTAGATTCATTTTAGGTGCTTTGATCGTGAGAATGCACGGCGCAAGGCAGCGGACTCGTCATGGTTGTTGGGGAGTGGAGATCGAATCGACAGGGGGAGCCGCAAGAAAGTCTCTGAGGGCGGCGGGGAGTATGGAGTGCGAGTGGCGCACTGCTCGGGCACGCAGGAGTTCTGGGCCAGAACTCCTGCGTGCCCGAACAGTGTTTCTGGCTGCCAGGATCGCTTCCCGATCCTGATGCATGAGTGGAGGTGGGTATCACTCATGGACCCGTCGAGCAACCTACAAAGGAATTATTTTAGGAAACACACCGCGCTTATTGATATCGGAGTGATCTTGGTTTTCTGGTTACCATACCTCGCCGGGAAATGAAAACGATTTGTATCTCGTTTTCTCTCAAAATCAAGTAAACGAGAAAAGAAAATCCCCAAATACAAAAGAGGAATAAAGTTCAAGAAAACGCGAGTTTTAAAAAAACGGGTTACCCGCCTCACGTTTAAACTAGAGCACTATATAGCTCCTACGGAGCAGAGTAGCGCAATCCTTTGAACCCCGTGTTTTGCCGACAACATGGCCGACAGAGCGGCTCGGCGCGAGTCACGTGGTACTCAGGGTTCCAGGAGGCGGCCCGCCCTATGGGAGAATACATGGAGATCGACATAACACGGCTGATTAAAAAACTAACGGCGAGTTCACATTTTTCAAAACTAACCTGTCGTGAAGTTAGTAAAGCGCTAAACACTTTATCAAAGTTTTAATAATATCGGATGCGTGTGCAAATTTTGAGAAGGCAATTTCCAAGGCAATGGCGTTTGAAGCAGACGATTTTTGCTCGCAGCGGAGATGGGCTTTTCGGGTTGGCCGGAGCGGGTCACGTGAATGGTGTGACGTCGCCGTGTCGTCTGCTGCATGATGCCGCTCAGGCAATTTTTAAAAAAAAGTTACGTCCTTGTATGGCACAAAACTTATCGCATATCATTCTAAAATGTTTCATTATTATGTCAAAAATGATTTCCATTCCGCACATCCCCACAAAACTGAAGAAACAACGATTTTCTCACGTTCTCCATGCATTTCTGACCGCAGTTGGAACCTCCGGGCGTTCGCCGCTAGTCGCCGAGAGACGGCGTTCTAGATTGCGCTACTCTGCTCCGAAGGAGCTATATAGTGCTCTAGTTTAAACAGTTTTCCGCCAGTGTTGCCGCACTCACACTGATATAATTGGCTCTTTTTGGCACACTGCACAAAACTGCAATAAATAACTAAAAAGCGTATGATATCGTTTAATATGTAATAACATAGAGTGAATTTTAATTTTATTGACTTAATCAAGCAAAGTATTTCAATGTTCAGGGGCAGTTTTTCTTTTTGTTTTTTCCCCCAATTTAAAATGAAACGACTTTGATACAGTTTATAAGATTTAGTTTAGTTTTTTTATATAAAGAATGAAATGCAGGGAAATTTTAACTTCTAAGTTCTTTAAAATTGTTTAAAATTGAAGGGAGTGGTTGGCGCATTTTTCTGAATATGTTTTTCGTTTCTTGCTTGTGGCGCCCCATCGTAGATAATCGAGGCATTATTCAAAATGGCCGTAAGTTTTGTTTGGACCAGTTTTCGGCAGTTGTAATTTCTTTTGTGCGAATATTGTCCGGTTCGCGTATCCCGGAGAGGTATTTGTCATGGTAAGTGGTGCACGTTGACGGCTACGCGGCGATAATGGTGGGGGACGCGTGTCGTTTGCCCGGCGATGCGAGTTTTTGCGAAGCACGGGACGTCGCGACTGAATTTGAAGTAAACAAATTGATCTCGGCTGTTTTACGAGATGTTGCATAGCGAACAGCTGTTCTCGGGAGCGCGATCGTTCCGCGCCTCGTGTTCCCTCCTGTTTGGCTCGGGAGCGAAGTGGTTTGCCATCGGTTACATAAGGTAGCGCGAGCAACTTTTGAACTAAGTAGCGAAAACCGTAATTTCTCCCTCTCAATTTCGGTGGCCTTGAACCGCGTTACAATTGCTGGGGGCTGCAGGGCTCCTGGATTGCATTCAATTAGGAAACTTCACTTTTGTTTTTAGCTGTCGAAAAAATGTGAGGTCTACCGTTTTGTCGGTGCAGCATACCACGTTTTGAGTTTCAACTTAAAAAAGAGTGAAAAAAGAAAGCGTGCTTGAAACGTTTAATTGTTTGATGTGCTCCGATCATTTAATGCCTGCAAAAGCGCGGGTGATCCGCTGTTACCTGCAATGAATCCGACAGATACGGATAAGCAGTAATCAGAGTTCGCGGATAGCGGACGAGGCAGTTTACCGCGGACGCAGGTTGGATGAGTGCTCAAAGGTCTGCGCTCGTGAAACACTCGAGATGCGTGCGGCGGGTGTTGCTCGTGACCACTAATAATAATAATAATAATAATCTTTATTTGCAGGGGAATCGTTACCCCAGGTGACTAGCCTACCACTGGGACGGGGAATAACAACATAACAATAACATAACATGAGAATAGTTTGAACACAAGATTATGCATCGGTTACATTCAGTGAGTTACTAAATATGGTATGAGCGCGAAAATGCCCGGCGTAAGGTCGCCGATTCTGCCCGGTCAATAGGGAGTGGAGAGAGAACCGCCAGAAGGGCTGTAAGAAAGTCTTCGTGGGTGCCGTAATGGCTAGCTTCCCGACCCCCTCAACCTGCCGAGTCTTGCCTCGCTGCTCTACAGACGAATGCAAGTTTGGGCCAGTGATTTTGTCGGAATTGTTCGGAAGTCTGCTAAAGAATGCGGTCTGCACCTTCCGGCACGGGAGGTAGCCGTTGTTGGAGGATCGCACCTTATCGTTGCCTGCCCCCTCGGGTGGATGATAGTCCCACAGTGCGTTTGCCGGGCATCGTTCGAACATTGCTTTGGCTCACACGATGCTTCCGGCCGCACATGGTGTTTCCAAGCGTGGCGTCTCGCCGCATATTCTGCCTCCAGGCTCGTGACACTAGTGTTTACGTGCAACGCTATGAAAGATAAACGGACGGGCGTGTGGTATTGAAGAGGCCTAGTTTCCTTAAGTGGGCATGTAGCAGTAGTACGGTGCCTCAAACTTGTCCTCGACAGGTACGTTCACTTCCGAGCGGCCTTGTGGCAACAAATTGTGTTGCAAAAGCCCGTGTGTCACGCTGTTGGATGCCGCGATCCTGGCGGCTGGTCTTTGAAAGGCGGGTGGATGTGAGGTTACCGTCGCCACGGCATCCCCCCTTGCGTCTGCTTCAGTGTCTGTTGGCCAGCCAGAAGTGGCAGTGGAAATCGAGGAACCACAAAAGAGTGTGCGCTAAACATGCCAGTCAGAAATGCACTCCACGCACCGTGCCAATAGCGCCTTCGAAATGTCAAAGGCGGAAACAAATGCCGGTTGGCAATCGGACGCAGGTTCCTCCGTTGTATGTAACATCTTGAATTGAACGCCCACTCATAGTGAGCAGATCAATGGAGAAAAATGTTGCGTGCGAGCAGTCTTTGGGAATTTGATGGCTAAATTTGTTCGGAAATAAGCGATGGACGGATGCTCGTTCACGCAAGCTTAAAATACACGTGAGCTGTTGTCGGAGACGTGATGTAGTCACATTCTCTGGTGCGATGACCGCTCGAGAACTGGCTAGAAACCCTTTGCCACGGGAGAATGCAGCGGAGATCTTGGTCGTGACTAACTCGTGTTGGGTGTAATAATTGTGAGGGAGCCTGCTAGGAACCTGCACGTTGCTGGAAGGTCACTGTTGCAGTGAACTCTCATTCCGAGGCGCTTTTCCTTGGAAGTGTGCTGCAGCGAGCATGCGCGAATGAGCTCTGCTACGTTGGGTGCAGAGCCGTATATGGGGAGAGTTTGGTCAGTCTATGATCTCGCCGCCATAGCGCTCTCCTTCCGAGTGAGCCAATCAGCACGCGGTGCAGAGCGAGAGGCATGAGCGCATGCGCGTGAACTCCCAACTGCTCCCAGCTGAGTGGGAAGGGCCGCCATTTTTGTTCATTCTCCTGGTGGAATGCATGGGATCGGCATCTAAATCTCGATTATTTCCTTTTATATCGCTGGCTCTGGCAAGAAAATGACATACTGTTATTCCTCGGTGGGTTAAAAAGCTAATAAATGAAGATTTTTCGGCGTAGGGCCACAAACTTTTATTCAGGCGAAAAAGAAGTCGGCCCGTAGCAGACGACGCATAGCCTCAGCAGTGCTCTTCTCCGACAGCGTTGCGAAAAAATGGCGGTCGTCTCTTCTCTGCTCCCTTCTTTCTCTCTCGCTCCTTCAGCGCTCTCCTCCCTTTCTGTAATGTACCGGCCGGTGGCCAGGACAGGGCGTGAGCGGACTCCCGCGCTTTCAAGAGCACGGGACTGGTGCACGGGTTTCTGGGCCTCGAGACTGGCATTCTAGGCACCATTAAAGTAACGTCCGGACGCTTGTCTACGCCGAGCTTGAGTCCTTGCCTGGGATACATAACAATTGGCGACGAGGTAGGTCAACAGTCAAGAACTTCAGCGGGCAGGATGGCTTCTCAAGGCAAGCTGGAGGAGTTCGACGGAACAGCTTGGACATCTTGGGCCGAACGCCTAAGCTTTTACTGTGAGGCCAACGCAGTTGAAGAGCCGTCAAAGAAACGAGCACTACTGCTTACACTTTGCGGACCCAAGACCTATGAGGTCGTACGAGCACTCGTGGCACCAAGAACCCCTGCAAACGTCAGTTTTGACGAGCTCATGGCACAACTCCAGAAACAGTTCGACCCACGGCTGTCAGAGCTGTTCAGCCGAGCGAAGTTTCAAAGAAGAGACCAACAACCCGGGGAATCTATATCCAGCTACGCGGCGTCTTTGAAGAAGTTAGCCGCAGACTGCAACTTCGGGATCCCTGTGACACCGGGGACTGCGACAACTTCCGGTACAACAAGCGTCGGCTTGGCTTCAACTGCTACCAGCGCCACCAGCGAAGGAACACCTGTGATTTCGGGAACCACAGGACACACACCGGCTAATCCGACCATGCTACCCCTTGAGGTAATGCTCAGAGATTGTTTCGTTTGTGGCATGACTGATGAGCATCTCCAGCAACGTTTGTTTGCTGAAACCAATCTAACCTTTCAAAAGGCATATGACATGGCCGTGCGAACAGAAAGTGCCGCACAACATCAACGCGATTTGAAAACACACAAAGAGGAGGTTCATGCGGTTGAGAAAGAACAGCTACCACCTAAGCAGTTGAGTACGAGTGGCAGCAGACAGAGGGATCTACAGACATGCTACCGATGCCAAGAACAACATTCGGCTTACTCCTGCCAGTCCCGAAACGCACGGTGCAGCTTCTGCCACAAGAAGGGACATATCGAAAAGGCCTGTTTCAAAAAGTCAAGAACGCAGCACCTATCGCGGACGACACACAGCCTCGATCAGCCAGATGAGCTACCCGAATTTGACGATGATCATACGGATACGCCATGGAGCCTGCACGAGCTGAATATGGTTAGAGCATCGAAGACGCTGCCAAAGTCTATGGTGACGCTGAGGATTGAAAATAAAGAGCTCGAATTCGAAGTCGACTCCGGAGCTGTTTGCTCAATCATCAGCGAAGCTACATATCGCCACCTCTGGCCGAAGAAGGCTCCTAAGCTAAACCAGGAGGGCCTGGCCCTCCGTACATGGTCAGGAGAGGGCTTACAAGTGCTTGGGACGGCAAGTGTACACGTCCGACATAAATCGAAGGATTACATCTTGCCTTTGGTCGTGACAAAAGGCTCAGGATGCAGCCTTCTAGGACGGAACTGGTTTCGAGACCTGAAGATCCGGGTGAGTGGAATCCATCACCTCGGCAACCATGGCAGCGTCGCCGAAGTCTTGAAGACACATGAGGATGTTTTTGACGCCAAGATCTCGGGACACAAAGGGCTACTAGTAAAACTGGAATTAAAAGAAGGCGCGACTCCCCACTTCCTCAAAGCACGACCCGTGCCGTTTGCACTGCGCACCGCGGTGGAGGCCGAGCTGCGGGGTCTCGAGAATCAAGGAATTTTGGAAGCGACGCAACACTCCGAGTGGGCCACACCGGTGGTTGTAGTACGAAAGAAAGATGGCACCATCCGGCTATGCGGAGATTGCCGAAGCACGGTAAACAAGGAAGCAAAGCTCGCAGTGTACCCCATGCCGACGGTTCCAGAAATCCTGGCAAATTTGCAAGGAGGTGTGGTATTTTCGACGCTAGACCTCACCCAAGCATATCAACAGCTACAACTGACAACTGAGACGGCTGACGTGTTGACCATCAGCACTATAAAAGGCCTCTATCGAGTCAAGAGGATGCCATTTGGCATCGCAGCTGCTCCAGCAATTTTTCAGCGATTCATGGAAACTGTTTTAGCAGGAATCCCGGGTATAGGGATATACCTCGATGATGTGATTATCAGTGGGGCCAACAATGCCGAGCACATGACTAGACTGGACACAGTATTGGCGAGACTTGCTCAAGCTGGTCTACGACTAAAAAGATCTAAGTGCCGCTTCGCAGTGGAACAAGTACAATACCTCGGACACACCATCGATGCTGCCGGGATACACCCGACTGAGGAAAAACTCAAAGCTATCCACGAGATGCCAGAGCCGACCTGTCGAACAACGCTACAGTCGTTTCTCGGACTTCTAGCTTTTTACGACCGATTTTTGGCAAATCGGGCAACAATAACAAAAGATCTCTACGCACTGCTAGAGAAAGACAGACCTTGGGAGTGGAACGAAAATCATCGACGAGCCTTTCTGCAGCTGAAACAGGCCATCGCAAAACATACGGTCCTCGCGCACTACGACGAGAACAAAACCTTGATCGTGTCATGTGACGCTTCCCCCTACGGCGTCGGCGCAGTATTAGCACAGTTAGATGCAGACGGAAATGAGGCTCCGATCGTGTTCGCATCAAGAACGCTCGGCAAGGCTGAAAAAACTACTCGCAATTGGACCGTGAAGGGCTGGCTATCATTTTCGCAATGGACCGTTTTCATCGCTATGTCGCGGGACGTCCCGTGAAAATAACGACGGACCATCAACCATTGTTGGGCATCATGGGCCCGAAATCACCAGTACCGAATGTGCTTTCGCCACGCATGACACGCTGGTGTATCAAGCTCGCGGCCTATAACTATGACCTAATCTACAGAGCGGGAAAACGCAATCAAAATGCTGACGCTCTGAGCCGACTACCGGTGCCGGAAACGCAGGACGAACAGGATCCCCCCGGCGATGTCCTGATGTTGGAGGCACTGACGAAGCCTCCCATGACTGCAAAAGAACTGGAAGACGAAACGGCAATTGATTCCACTCTGGCTGAGGTCTTTAGAGCAGTCAAGAATGGCGAAGTAAAGAGACTGGTGGGCGATCGGTTCAACGCGTTCAAGCTCAAGGCAACTGAGTTGTCCATCCATCGTGGTTGTCTCACCTGGGGTGCGCGCGTGGTAATCCCAGCGTCAATGAGACCCGAGGCTATGAGACTTCTACATGCAGGACACCGAGGCATCGTAGCCATGAAGGCTAACGCCCGAAGCTACGTGTGGTGGCCCGGTATAGACAAAGAGATCGAATTATGTGTAGCTCAATGTGAGAAGTGCCAGCTACACCAGAAAGCACCACCAAAAGCCACCAGTCCCACCTGGGACAGACCTACAGTACCTTGGGACACCATCCATTTGGATTTTGCAGGGCCTGTAGATGGACAAGTCTATCTTGTCGTGGTAGATGCATACTCTAAATGGTTAGAGGTTCGTGCAGTTCGAAACATGACGTCATCAACTGTGATTTGTGAATTACGGAATATTTTTGCAACGTTTGGCATACCACGTAAAGTAATGTCGGATAACGGAAACGCTTTTATATCGCAAGAGATAAAAAGCTTTTACCACTCCAATGGAATCACAGCGGTAACAAGCGCACCCTATCACCCGGCAACGAACGGCCAAGCCGAAAGAATGGTACAGCAATTAAAGAAGGCTCTGGCGAAGGGAGAAAAAGACACGGTGAAACGTACACTGGCACGGTTTTTATACAAGCAGCATACCACGGTACACACTGCAACGGGCAAGACGCCGGCGTAGATGTTTCTTGGTCGAGAGTTGTCATCACCGCTACAGAGACTGCTGCAGCGGCCTACTTATGACCCTCCAACCACGTTGATAACCTCAGATTCGACACACTCGCAGGAATTTTCGGTTGGTCAGGCCGTGTGGATCAGGAACTTCCCAAGCGGAAGGACTTGGACAGCTGGCGTTATTACACGCCGTCTAGGTCCCCGGTCGTGGATGATCGACACTGAGGAGGGCCAGGAAAGACGGCACATGGATCATATTCGTCCAAGGAATTGCACCTCGCAGTACAGAAACAGCAGTACACCCGCTCCAGTGTGGGACTTGATCCTGGAGCCCGACGAGCCCTCATCCGCACCTCCAAAGTCAGAGACATCACGTACGCCTCCGAGGCCGGAGCCCGCGCGTAGTGAAACACACCAACGCACCAGCAACCGTGTGCGAAGACCACCGGAAAGATTAGGAGTCGCAACTAAGTGAGGGGGAAGTGTAATGTACCGGCCGGTGGCCAGGACAGGGCGTGAGCGGACTCCCGCACTTTCAAGAGCACGGGACTGGTGCACGGGTTTCTGGGCCTCGAGACGGGCATTCTAGGCGCCATTAAAGTAACGTCCGGACGCTTGTCTACGCCGAGCTTGAGTCCTTGCCTGGGATACATAACACTTTCATTTACTTTTCTCCTCTCCGGCGCCTTTGTCGCTACACCCACTGGCCAAACTCTCCCAACATACAGCTCTAGTCGGGTGTAGAGTTCCTGTATAGGCTCCCTACGGGAGCCAGAGTTGCGCATTTGTTTTCCCCGCGCCGCCACGCCGCTATTCGCCGAGATCCATCATGTGAGGAGCAAAGCATCCGGTGGCGTGCAAGAAAGCCACCTTTACGGTCGCTCCGCCGATGTTTCTCTTGCCCCGGCGTATGTTTCCCTGCTTTCCGTCTCCTTTTCCTCCGTTCCTGTTTTCCATGCGCGGCGGCGCGCGCGGCGCCGCTATTTGCCAAATTTAGTCACGTGAGGAGCAAAGCATCCAGCTCGTGCAGGAAAGTCGGCGCTACGGCCACGCTCCGAGGCTGAATGCGCAACTCTGCTACCGTAGGTAGCTATGCAAGAACTCTAGTCGGGTGCAGCTACTTGCGCCACCTAGGTGTGAAAGGTGGGGACAGTGAAAGGCAGGCTCGCCACGCGCCTCTGTCGCGCTCAGCTGGGTGCCCTGCCATTTTTTTTTTTTTTACTATTTATCCCTGCCCACACATTACTGCCGTATTTGGCGGTGGTGGCGAAGAGGGACGGCAACTAAGACAATGATCGGGTATCGTCGGTTGCTGGCACTCTAAACCGTGCGAAAGATGTCACCTTTTTTTTAAACCAAGTTGGTAAATGACGTATGGCTAGTATCTTAAAATGTCCAGCATGGTTTTCTTTAATTTACTATCTCCTCATTTGAAATGGAATACAATGACATAAAATGGTAAATAAGAAATCTTTGAACTTTCTCATTGCAGTTCTTTGCTTGGCATATTTTTTTTTTGTGTTTATTGCTTTGTTGCAAAAAGTAGGGCTTTGCCTAATCTCGTGTGCATGGCAGATTAGAGGGAAAGCCCCTTTTACCTCTAATCTACCAATTTGCAATTCCTTCACATTCTTTTTTTTGGCAGGGAGTATGGCAAGTGGAGTGAGTCCTATATCGAGCCAGAACAATCTTTTTTAGCGGGGCATTTATTTGGTATTTTACGGTATACATATGACTTGTAGGAGCCACTCAAATCCAGTTACTCTTTTTGCGGATGCGGGTTAGCTGCTTAGTTGCCATTAATACAGGGACTGTGGGCTCGTGAAGCTGCTAAGTGCAGATTTTTTTCCACAGCCCCTCCATCTGTATTTTTTAGAAGGTGGAAAATAGACACATTTGATTTGACAATCAATATCTGCACAGTCCTCTCCTGACTACCGCAAGTGTGCCGTTACGCAAGGTTTATAAATTGTGATACCAAATTTCACCATTTTCAATTTTACAAAAACTTCCCTTGGATGGTTTGTATTCAAGCATATAGCAAGCAAGCAAGTTCTGATATCTAGCAACTTGCCAAATATAAACAAAAAAAAAACAAAAAAAAACATGCAGATTTTGTGTTATTATTTTTAATAGACCTATGCCGAATTACCCAAGCATAAAAAAAAATATGCAGGGAATGTTGGTACATGCACTGAGCGTGCTGTCGTCTTTAGCTCTAACTGTTCGAAAGCCAAAATCTAAAACTAATGGTATTTTGCACGCGCATTCCACGGACGCTTCATTTTGTGTATTTACTTAAAAGTATTTTTCATAAAGAAGGCGAGCACCTACAGCATGTGTACCTATGTTCCCAACATTCTCTTTGGTGCTTGCATAATGCAGCGAATTGTCTATTGGGGAAGGTTCACTGCAGTGCGACGCCGCTTGCAATCGCTAAAGGCTCTTTGCTCTCTTTGACGAGGAAATTTGTTAAGCACTTGTTTCTTTTCAGTGTACAAGACACAGTTGCTGCTATGTCAGAACAGTATAGCAGTGATGAAGAGGCCTGGTGAGTGGTGCAACACGTTTTACTCCACGTGGCGCATTTCGGGAGTGCAGAGGGCCGATACAGTTCTTGTACTCAATCAAATCAGGGCACAGCCGCTGACGGGGTGCGAATTGCGGAGCGTCTTTTTCAGATGCCCCGGCTCCATCGTGCGCTCGAGCCTTTTGTCGTGCTTTGGCTGCTGGGCCCAAGATAGCAACTTAGGAGACGCCGATGTGGTATCGAAGTCAGGAAGGTCGCGCTGGAAGTGGGATAACTGATGGACCTCCCTGCTGTTCTCACCCCATTGGCGACTGTAGGTAGGGGCCTTCACGGGCCGATATACCGGAGCCTGCCCCAGTTCCCCGGCTTGCTATCTACTTCCGACAGCCGGCCCGGCCCGACACCAATTTTCGCGTGCCTGCTGAGGCCCGCTCTATTTTCGCCCAATACGAAGCTGAGCTTACAAGAAGCCCGACATGGCGAGCTCGCTTGCCACTGCTACACATGCCTACTACTGTGTGTGGTAGTCAGTGCAATAAGAATTCTATTTTTGTTTTTGCTGCCATTACGAGACAATGCATTCTGTAAGTCCGAGCGGTGCGTTAAAAAAAGGCCACCCTTGTCATCGTTTCTTTCGACCAAAGCCACGCATCGAAAAGGACAGAAAAATTAAAGTGGCAAGCGGGGGTAAACAAAGGCCACATGCAAAGGTTGAAAAGAAAGAGAAGCGTCTTGTCAGGTTCGGACAAAAGACAAACGAAGTTCTGAATTGCCCACTCCTGCTGTGCACGACCGAACGGAAAACTCCTCCGAAAGAAACCCCCGTCTCTTTCGGCGGTCCGCGAGAAATTGGTTGGGAAAAGCACCCCCGAGAGAACCACTTTGACGGAAGCGAATTCTCTTCACCCATATTGTGGGTGCATGCACTCGTACGCACAGACGGCTTACACATGACAGAGTCTGCATTGTGTAGGCGCTTGTGTATGCGTGCTTGAGGGGGAGAAGTGACTGGACTCTACGACGGTGGTGCCGCCGGCGATATAAATGAATGCCGCGATGCTGGTGCTCCGGAAGAGCGGTTGCTGTGCATGCTCCGAACTGTAATAATTGCAGACATGCATGCTTTCGGGATTTGGGTCTTGCACTGTGGTGTCTCCCCCAACCCCCAAAACAACTTTCAAGCTATAAAAAAAAGTTGTGGTTCGTTTGTTTTTTGTTTGTTCATTCGTGCTGCTAACCTCTTTCGAGGTTGTAGCAGAAGTGAAAAACACATAGATACAAATATTCCATGGTGCACTCATTGACAAAAAACCTCGCAAAAATCAGAATAGGTGGCTGCATTAACGGCATTGAGTGGCAGGTTTTTACAGTCTATTACTCTCCTAGGAAAGAAGGAATATTTAAATGAATCATTTTTATAATTATATGGTTTGAGTGTCTTCTGATGTGAATATCTGGATGCTCTGGCGCAAAAAAAATTCAATGTATTGAGTTTTGTCGATTCCCAGCTCATTCCTAACAATTGAATAAAGAAATTTCAGACGATTTTGTTTCCTTCTTTCCTGTAACATTTGGAGTCCTGCTCTAGAACACAAGTCTGTAGGGGACACATAAGAATCCATATTAAAAACAAATTGCACTGCAAGTCTCTGAACTCTTTCTAAATCAGCTATGTAACAAGTTGTGTGCGGGTCCCAGACACTGCTAGCATACTTTAGAATTGCCTTAATAAACGTTTTTTACAACTACAACTTAGTATCACTTGAACCATGTTTAAAAATCCTCGACGAAAATCCTATTTATTGCCCTTGTGATAATTTGGCCACTATGCATATTCCAGCTCAAGCCAGACGTTACGGTGACACCGAGGTACTAATATAAGAGGACACTCTAGGTAGATTATGACTGCCGACAGCATAGTTAAATTAAATAGGATTCCTTTTTTGAGTGACAGACATGCACATAGTTTTAGTAAGATAAGGCACATTTGCTAATCTTTGCACCACAGGAATTTTTTTCTAAAGAAGGATGTTGTATATCATAGTGAGTGGAACTCTTAATTTCATGAAAAAGAATACAATCATCAGCAAACAGTCCCAGCTTGGCAGGAACTCTGGTTTAAATATTATTAATGAATGTTAAAAACAATAGTGGCCCAAGCACTGTCCCACCTCATAGACTTGAATGCAAGGGCCTTGCCCAACCCAGGCCCTCCCCAGTTGCAACCGTGAAGCCCAAGCCTTGCTCATTGCTCTTGGGCTGACCCATTCACCGTGCAAACTAACCAAAGGTAGTTTCCTTATTTAAGCTAGAATCATCTATCCTTCCGACCAGAGTTTATGCGCCCACAACGTTTGAAGCTCCGAGAATATTATCGATGGTGATTTTTTATTTAGTGAAACATAATATAACCTAATTCCTACATTCCAAATAGGAATGCATGGTAGTCAATGCAATAAAAATTCTAGGTTTCTTTCTTTTCTTTTTTTTTTTGCCAGGTTGCGTATTACAGTTTGGAGCTTCTATCTTCATTTTCCGGCTTTGGCCAACTAGCTGTGGCAATTAATCTGCGTCACCTATAAAACAGAACAGAACACCGTGTTCTCCTGCCTGTGCCAGTTTTTATTTAAAAAAATGCAACAAATCGAAGGTCAAAGTGCCCCCCAGCTGTGGCGCCGTCTTTTGAGGGGGGTCTCTGGGGGACCACATGGTTTTTTGTCAGAGAGAACCAGGAGCCTCCCTTACGATTGTAAAGTTTTCAAGGATTGGCATCGCCGAAAGACGCGGCGGGTGGTTGACACAAAAGACGTTTCGCCACGGGGCTCATGGCGAGTGTAGCAGCGGAGGGGGACAGATTTTGTTGGCTTGTGCGTGTTCCCCAATGACATGTGCCACTCGAGACCCGATAAACCGCCACACATGGCTGCAGATTCGCAAGTGATTTGTTTTTTCCTTTGCGATTACGGAGCAGAATAGTAGTTTTTCGGGGGTTGTGCCTAGATAAACAACATGAAAGATATAAACTGCTAATTCGTTCGACGTTAAAATTGTTGCACTGCTTCTTTAACATGTAGGCCATGGTATGAGTTCTGCTCGCTGGGAAAAACATACATTTTTTGGTTGTCACCCTTGGCAGGTCGTTCTGACAGCCTGTTTTATTCTCAACTTGCTCCGTAGCCCTCACTTAATGAACTTGCAAAAGTTGTGACATGGAATAAATTTAACTATTGCGGGCAGTGCTATAGTTGCCTGCGTACCATTTCGAACAGCATCCAGGCTGGAGTTTTCCCAGTCGCCGTGCGGATGGTCGTGTGCTGCTTGAACAGAGAGCACAGATCGACTCGTCTTCCCTTTGTGAGAGCGCGTTTCGACTTGTGAACCTTGTGCTTGGCTTGCCCATTAGTGGCTAGGTGATGCGGTGCACCAGCGATAAAATCTTTTGATTTCGTCGGAGACGAGGGCCTTTTCATTGTCTGAGACGACTTCACGGGGTGCCCCAAACGTGGCAAAAATACTATGGAGCTCTTGAATTACCGCCGTTGACGTCATGCTGTTTACAAGTTTCACCTCGAGCGGTTTCGAGTAGGTGTCTACCGGAATGAGATATGACTGACCTGCTATTGGCCTGGCAAAATCAACATGCATCACATCCCATGGTATAGACGGGCGCTCCCATTTGGGGCTCAAGACCTCGGGCGTTGCACTTGTATGCTTGGTGCTCAAGGTACACACCTTGAGCATTAATGTTTGCTCCGTCCATAAATTGGGGCTTTCCAGTGACATCTCATCAATAACAAGATGTCTCTGTTGATTGAAAATTTTTCGGGGCAAAAAGAAGTCAGGTTGGCTGCTACTTTCCACGTTGAAAGAACTTTGTCCAAAAATAAATCATATTGGCTTGGAAAGCCATTTCATCAGTAGCATTCTAGAAAAGGTTTGTTGGTGTTCCTCGTCTGAAAAGAAAATTAGCGTGCCTTTGAGTACCTTTGGAGACGGAGTCATCCCAGTGAGCTGTCCTGGAGTGTTTGATGCGGGTCGCAGGTGCTACTGTGGCGTTAGCCACTGGGAAAAGAAGAAGATTGCGTGAAATAAAAGAGTCAGACCAGTTCGATCTTGGAATTAAAAAAAACGTCGCTTTTTGTCTGTCTTTTCTATATATCTATAGACTGATGATGAAGCTTCATAACCTTCACATTGCAAAGGGTTCCCATTTTTGTCTAGTTTGACAGAATCTGTGTAGGCAACAGGCAGACCTAGAAAGTGTAAGAAATCGAGAACCTTGGTACGGTGGCATTAAATTAACCAATCGCTGTTGGTCATTGCAAACTTTCATGTTCATGGTTGAATGAAGTCTCATTTTCCAACCAAGCAACATTTGACAGACCAAATTGAAAGATTAATGAGTGCATGGGGAAATCAACAGGTCGGCATTTATTTGAAAATTTCAGAGAGGGTCATGATGGTACAATATATATATCCTTTGAAAGTTGGAGATCTCAGAATTTCGGGAGTCATGTATGTTGAAACTGCAGCCTCCTCTCCTCTGAAGAGGAATTGATCACAGTTCAACATTCTCCAAAAGCCTTTCTGGGTGTTCAGTCTTACCAAGATGTAATTTAAATGATTGCCGGTTGCTTCTGTTTTGCCTCCTTTGTACACTTGCCCAATCATAATTACTTTAGCAGGTGCTTTGGCCGCTACCTCTTGCATCGTAACAATATGCAGATCTGTACCGCAGCATATGGTAAGCCAGATCTGAATATATGACTCATCGATTTTTGGTGTGTTACACTCTGGTAAGCTATCCTAGCTTTAGTTGCTGCTTGGCAGGTACAAAACTCCTAAGCTGGAAGTAAAAAATTCGTGACGAGTTGGGCAATTAGTCTCTCGAGACATCTTTCTGCCTTGATGCAGGAGCTACACATCGCGACACTGTTAGCGCAAACACGACATCGGCGCATTTTCACATTTTACTTCTAAATAGTATTAGCGAGCACGAAAATGTACCGCTTACATTATAGAACTAAACGAGCTTTTACCGTAGCAATAATAACTTGGATGGCATCCTTGGTTTCAAAGAGAAAAACTGGAAAAACCGGCAATCGCTTGTTCGCGCTAACAGTGTCGCGCTCTCTACATAGTGTGGCACTGCTAAAAGACACGAATGATTGCCACATGTTTTTTTTTTTCTGGTTTGCTTTTAGAATTGAGTGGCTGCCACCATAACTATTTGTGCACTGGTAATTGCTCATATGGGGCACTAATATAAGTTGTAGAAACTGGGGCCCAGCCAGTTAGAGTTGTTGGTCCTCCCAGTGGTGTGGGGGGCAGGTTCCGCTCCGATTGTCTGGAGCGTGGTGGCACGAACGTCGCTGAATGACGGGTCGACTCACTGCTTGTAGAGAACTATGTGCATTTATTTACACTCTAGTTACAAGTCCCAACTTGGGAGACAATCCTGCCTCGTTTAAAGTCTCGACCCCCGTTCCCAATTTCCCTCAATCAAATCCCAATCCCTCCAACTCCTCTCCGTACTCCTTTTGTAGGCTCGTAGGGGCCTCCTTTCCCCTCAGGAACCGACCAATCTCTTCAAATTCCACCACTCACACGTGGTACACGGTTCTCCAATTGTCGGCGAGTTGTCAGCCTTGCGCTCAAACCGTCAAAGCCAAATTCCTTGTAGAGTCATTCTCTGCATTTTTGCCAATCTGGCTGGTGCCAAGCGCTAAATTATTGCATCGGGCAAAAAGTGACAATTTCCCACTAAGCGGCAAAACCCTCTATATACAGGCACATTTGGTTAAAAGCCGCAAGCATCTTCAAGCGCGGGCTCTCCCGGTCCCGGTCCGAGCAGACTCCCGAAACCCGAGACGTTTCTTAACAACTGCGGGGGATCCGCTCCCGCATTGCAGCCGCTCTGGCCCCGCAAACAGAAACATAAAAAGCTAAAAAAAAAAACAAAAAAAAACTGCCGACGCAACTCTGGAAAGATAAACTTTTTTAACAAAAGAAAACACCTTAATTAATAAGCATGATTTCTATATACTTAACTCAGCCCTTCAAAACAAGATTAGAAAAAGTACCAATTCCTTGTCTGCACTAATCATGTTGTGCGGCATATAACACATGAAGGGCCCTGTTGTGAGTGCATTTTATTCTTCATTTGCACAACTCCCATTCTGCTTTACTGCCGCCTCAAAAGACTTGCTATATCGCTGGCCGCCCTTAATTAACATGATTTGTGCTTGCTAATCTTGCGCAGCATCTGCAATGGGGAAGTGCTTGTCAACCACAAGCGCAAGGAGACCCACAATGTGGTCGAAAGGAGGCGGAAGGACAAGATCAACATCAACATTCTGCGCCTGGGAGACTTGCTCCCGGATAAGGACCCCAAAAAGCAGGTGAGGCCCATATTTGTGAATACAACAAGAATAATGTAGCAATGGCCTTATTAAAGTAAAACCTCATTAATTCAGATCGCACAGGGCCGGCAGAAGTGTTGGAAATATAAAAGTCGAAATATGGATTGGACAAAGTAAACGACGCGCAATGTTCCCTCCTTTACCTCTCTTTATTTGGGAAATAATTCGTAACAAATGTAATGAGAAATGCTTGTCCCAAGTCATGGTACTACCTGGTACTGTTTAATCAAGGTAACAAAAATTGCCCAGATGATCACCCAACATGATACAAAGGGACAGCGTCGGCTGATGCGACATTTCAATGATATTGCGTCGTGCAGTGACGTTACAATTTTTTTTTTTTTTTTTTGCATTGCATAGTGATTGTTACATCTGTGCTATGCGCCTATACACAAATACTGCATAGGCACGTAGCACACCTTGAAGGCAGTCAGGTCACTGTCCAGGTACGACGACCGACAAACCTCCTGTCGAGACGCCAGCAAAGACACCATGTCTCGCGTAAGCCACAACTAATCACACACAGGGCAGCCAGAGCCGTATATTGGGAGAGTTTGGCCAGTGGGTGTGGCGACGAAAGCGCCGGAGAGGAGAAAAGTAAATGAAAGGGAGGAGAGCGCCAAAGGAGCGAGAGAGAAAGAAGGGAGCAGAGAGGAGACGACCGCCATTTTTTAGCAACGCTGTCTGAGACTGGTCGGAGAAGAGCACTGCTGAGGCTACACGTCGTCTGCTACGGGCCGACTTCTTTTTCGCCTGGATAAAAGTTTGTGGCCATACGCCCTAAAATCTTCATTTATTAGCTTTTTAACCCACCGAGGAATAACAGAATGTCATTTTCTTGCCAGAGCCAGCGATATAAGAGGCAATAATCGAGATTTAGATGCCGATCCCACGCATTCCGCCAGGAGAATGATCGAAGATGGCGGCCCTCCCCACTCAGGTAGGAGCAGCCAGGAGTTCACGCGCATGCGCTCATGCCTCTCGCTCTACGGCGCGTGCTGATTGGCTCACTTAGGAAGAGAGTGTTACGGCGACGAGATCATAGACTGACTATACTCTCCCCATATACGGCTCTGAGGGCAGCTAGCACTGAGCACCCTCTTGTGGACGCGCCGCACAAGTTGATTCTCAGCTTGGTAACATCTTTTTGTGCATACCACTTTACATTCACGCACAACATGATCTAGACGAATGGTGAGACCGTCAGCGCCTAGACATTGGCGACGTTCTCTCTCAGTGGTGCGTTTATGCTGTTGAGTAGCCACTGCTTGCTCCGGCGCATGGCTCGGCCGCCCCGTTCTTGCGCGCAAAGGCTTGGAGCGCCGAGCGAACGGGTGACCGAGGGCGAGAAATAGCAGTTGTCAAGAAAGGCAACCGCACGACCCTCGATGCAATCACGATTGGCCAAACATGCCACTCCTCAACCACGACTGTTATCGGCGAAACGGCAAGGGTTGCCCTTTGAGCGGAGTTTCCCTTTAAAGGTTGGCACGTACAGCATCGTTTACTGCCAGAAAGAAAACCGGTTCCGAGTCTCCTTCTCTCCCTTCCCCCTTGCATTCTTCCCTCCTTTCCCCAAAGGTATCTGAGCTACTCCCTGCGGAAAGGAGCAGGGTCTCCCTCTTTCTTGAATGGAAGGAGTGTGAGCAATTTCACATGACAAGACGCTAATAAAAGGCACTACGTAATTCGTTTGACGGAAAATGGGATGTACAGTGTAGACCGCATATAACGTATGTCGCGGGAGTCGCGAAAGTCCACACTATAAGCGGTACCGCGCTATAACCAAAACATCAATTTTTCAGGCCAAAATACATGCCATGAGACAACTTACCTTTGTAAAATAATTTATTTTACGTTAGATGAAAAATAAAGCTTAGTTTGAGGAAAGTCTTTATTTCACCAGACTAGTACACTTCTCTCTCAAGTGTGTCACACATTTTGAAAGAAATGAGCGACTTTTGCCTGGCGCAGACTTCTAGCAACGTCGCGGGTTGCAGACGGACGTTGCGAGCGTTCAGGATTGCTAACCCTAATGACTTTTCTCCGGTGATGAAAACGCGTGAAAATTCGCATCCTTTATACGGTACGTGCCAGTAATACCTTCAACTTGAGCACAGGCATGAAATGCTCCAAATAAGAAATCCGGGCGATGTTCGAAAACACAAATGCTTAGAAAGCACTAGAGTAGTCGAAGTAAACAAACACGACGACGCGGGCGTTTCTGCCTTCTTCAGAGTGCCGCCACGACATCGCCGCACGAGTATGTGGATCTTTCCTTCTTGTAGTACGTCCGGGGTTATCATAGCGACACACAACGAAAATTCACAGTCAAGGATAGCGCTTTTACGCGGAACGATGAGCTTCCACCACGCCGTCTATGTCGACGATCACAACCGACGCCATGTTTGCGGATAGAAGCTGCCCCGCAACCGGCATGCAACGCGTGCGAACACTTCTCCTCGACCTGCGATTGGTCTGTCATTGCGGTTGTTTTGGTTGTTTCCTAAAACGCAGCGGAGGGACGCACGCATGTGAACGACAGGTGCGTGCGTCTGTCTGTTGCTATGGCAACTGAAACCTCTCTCTTCGCTTCTCCCCGCTTCTTCGAGCAACCTCCTTGCCCCGCCGCGAGTGCCGCTTGCGGCTAGCGCCGTTATCTTGGTTATCTAGCGTTGCACAGGGAAGCGTGCTCGCTGCACCGGTCGGCGGGCTGTTTCAGAAACCGCGCTATAACCAGTATTTCCCTTCGCGCGCCTGCATTTTAAGCGGTATGTAATTACACGGAGTTCTATGGGAGGCGAACCGGTGGTTTAAAAAAGCCGCATTATACCCGGTCCTGCACTATAAGTGGTTACACGTAGTAAGTTGTCTATACTGTATTTTGGGAAATCTTGCTTTATATGTGAGCAGAGGAAGAAACCGAAACTTCAGCTCCGTCAGGGAACATTGGCCCCGGGCCGCCAAAAACATAGCCACCACGTGGTACAAGCGGTTATGTGATCCTCTACGTGACAATGGGCGGGCTCGGGGGCGGGCGTGTGCAAGGCGCAAGTGTCGTCTGCACCGCGGTCTTTACCACGTCTTGGTGTCTACGATATACGACGTCTGCGCAACTGCGGCATCGGTCTGCAATGTAGTGTTAACGACACTTTGAGAGACGATACAGTGCAATCCACTTATGACGATACCACATATAACTATGTACTGCTTATAACAATCATTTTCTTAGAGTTTCTAGACTGGAAACAATCAGTTTCTAGTCCATGTACAACGATAATCGGTTGTAACAATTGAATTTTAGGGTTTTCTCATTATCGTTATTAGTGGATTGCACTCTAATCACTAACGGCGAGACGACAGCAGTTGTGACACGAGAGACGGCGGTAAAGGCCGGACGCCTCCCAAGCGCTGCACAGGCGTGTTACGCCGATCACGTGGACACTGCTGAGCGCCGAGAGGAGACACCGCTGACGATACCTGTTACGCTTGCCTGGTGAAGTAAAAACAAACAAGAAGTAGCACTCTTGTACGTTTAGCTCAATGCTCTCTATGCCAACACTGTAGCATTGATTGCAGTGTTGATTGTGCCCCGATTCGCCCACTAGTCAGCCGACTTCGGCAACTTGATGCGTTCCAAAGTTGGCTGGACCGTTTAAGAAACATTTAGATGTAATATTTGGTGTGTGGTCTTAGGTGATACTCAAGAGGTCTGCATTGTTATGTTTTCAAAAACAAAAATGAAGTGGAGTTGCCCTTTAAAGGGGTTATGACACGCCAAAAATAAAATATGAGATAACAATGTGGTTCGGACCCATTGTATGCTCCTATAGTCCTTCTAAATTTGTTTTGAAAATGGCGCGATAGTTTCGTGGATAAGTCGATTTATATGCGGGTCCCTCGTAGGGGCGGATCCGGGCGGAGCGGAAGGCTGGCTACGTAGCCAGCCTCCCGCGCGATGTCTCCTTGCACGCACTCTCAGACTTGGCTCTCTTGGAGTTTCGAGCTTCAGCTTCCTCTTTTACCTTCCACGTTTCGAGTATGTGGTCCGTGACAATTACGTCTACGGCATCGCTCGCCTTGTTGAAGTGTTTGACATTGATCGCAGTAGCGATGAGAGTAATTGTTATCAATAGATGTTGGAAGCTGTTTATTTTGACCGCGACCCGCTGGCGACCGGCTCCAGCAACTGCGATTTACGGACAAACTCGCCGTGGTCACCGTTGTACAGGAATATTTCGCAGGCGCACGCACGGTGGAAGGTCAACGGGCCGGGGGCGAGAGCAAGAATAGCGTTCGGGTTACCGAGTTGCGTGAGCGGTTTTGGTCGTACCGTGGCAAGGAGAGCTTGGGTGATCATGGGGGAGAGAGCGTTCATGATCAAATAGTTTATGGACACCATAGTGTGACTACTTGGGCAGTGTTGCCTGGTTGCCAGATGAAAATGATAAAGATTCTTAAATTGATTATTGCAATTACCAGAGCACTAAAAATCGTGTAACTTGGTGTATATACTAAGTAGCCTATGAGCATTCCATTTCAAGAATGATCTATCCATTTAATTTTTGCATCATTACCCCTTTAAGAGTCAGCCACGTTTAGCCAATGGGCATAGCTAGTTAAGACAGTGCCTCTTTTAATTCTTAAACCATTTTGAAAGCAGCAACAGAGGCCTCTGCCACTGCTCACTATTCTTTGTAACTCGGAGCTCATTGCAATATGGGGTCTAAAAAAAGAATCTAAAAAAAAGGATAAAGCGTTTGCTTAAAATTTTTGGTTTATTCATCACTGAGAAAGAAACAGTGTGACGTACAGTGAGACTTGTTTAGAACGAACCCACGTACAGCGAATTATTGTTGATATCGAACTCACGGAATCTTTATATCAAAATGAATCTATAAATCACTTTTTATAACTAACATCATATTGGCTATATCGAACCTTTTCCCCCGAAATGACTTACAAAAACACGCAAACCA